GGTTCAGTGCACCCTGAAGCTACTGGACCTATATAGCGCCCTCAAGAGTTTATGCATATTGGCTAGATGGATCTCCGGTACATCTCCTGCCGGCTGCCCATAGCGGGAAATTTGTTCATATTCGTCGGTATTACTATTAGAGTACAGAGCAAGGAACAGAGGCGTATTTTAGCTAGAGAAGTAAAAAAGTAACTGGTGAAGTAAGCTTTCGGTACAGTTCCACGTACAGATATTACTTATTTTCCCCTTACCTTGCCCCACTAGTACTGGCACTAGTGTGGCGCTATGGCACGTACACTCACTCCCGCTCCATCCTTAACTTAAGCGGGAGTGAGAGTCCGTGCCACATTAGTGGGGCAACCCCTTACCATGCTTATTACAGTGGTTTAAAAGCCATTAAAATAGTGAAAACATGCTTAGCTCTACTGGCATGACTGGTGGAGCGATATCATTTAATTGTAACATTCCTCTTTTTCGATTTTAGACATGATCGGTCAGAGTTAACATGCAAAAAAGTCAAATTTAGCAAGGAAAATATTGAAACATAGCCATTGTCATGTTTGGTTTGGTGTTCACTCAAGCAATTTTTCTGGAAGGCATTTTTTTTACATTTTCTTAATTTGGTCTGGACTTGTTCCATAATCAAATAACTGCGGAAGAATGATGAATTTCATCTAGAAAACCAAGCTTAGAAAATCCAGCTCTGTTTACTGACATTGTGACAGATTAATGAGGTGACAGACAAAATGACTCTACTGCGTGTAGGACTATGCCCAGCTTTGACAGAGGAAACTCTAGATGCACTGAATACAGCAGGAATAAAAACAGGTTTGTGGTTAGCCGAGGTTGGAAACATGTTGTTTTCATTTATGCTATGACTGACGTCTGGGGTATAAAGTCTTCCTACAATGTGGAAATTATTTTTGCATTTTTTCTCACATTTTTACCTGGCGGAGGTAGCTCAAATGTCATTCACTAGGGCCCTAATTCCAATTCCATAAATGCCTTGTTGAAATTACTAAATACGCCCGCGGATGAAGTATTTTGCAGGAAATTTGGCACCACTTCACACTGTCCATCTTGAACGATCTACATTCATCTAGTATTACGCAAAATGCATAGGAACTCAAGCCCCTTGCATGCACAGACGACATGGTGCCGTACCCAAAACACGCAAGTGGAAAGAAAACTTAGTCCAAAAACCTGCAAATTTTCATTGACTGTAAAGCTTGGCCTACAATCTGTCAGTTATCTGCGACTTATTGGCGTCCAGAGCTCATCCGCACATCAGGGGTGGTCGGTTGCTGTGCATTTCGTTAAATGTGCAACTGCGTACTACTAGGCGAATGTAGATTGCTCATGAATCGTGTGAAACCGTGAAGTTGTGCAACCTGCCAAATAAATCGTCCTGAGGCGTATTGAGTAATTTCAACTCGGCATTTATGGAATTCAGGACACAAGGCACTTGTGAACAACATTTGAGTTGTCTCTGCCAGGTAAAAATGTGAGAAAAAAAAACGTTGAAAATATTGTGCTCTGGCAGGAAGACTTTACACTCTGGATGTTAGTCGCAATGCAATGTAGACAACTTCCACACACTTTTTGCCAGGTACATGTTGGCCTGGCTAAATTTTCCACTTTCTTCCCAAATGTTTTCTTCATTTCTAAATAACGTTCTCCTGAACAGGGAAAGTCATTTTAAACTTATTTGGCAGAAGTTGATTTACATGGTCATGGATAAAACTGAGGGACCTTAAATCTAAAAACTACTTGAAATTTGTTACTTTACAGTATAGACAGTTTTCTGTTTGTCAACTGGGCCCAAATTTCAGAGGTCCTGATTCATTTTTTTGGTCAACTTCTTGCACAAGCACAGATTCTTTTGTCAGAAAAGAAAGAGTTTTTCTTAAGGTTTTGGGTTCTCAACACACAATATCGATGATGCCATAGTTTTTAATAGACAAGTCCATCTGTAGTGTCATTTTCGTCATGTTGTATTCTTCACCTTTGTCATGCATTTCTTCTGCAGTGCTGGAGTTTGTCTGTGCAGACGTTGAAGACCTCGCCCAAAAGTGTTCCATCTCATACAAGGTACAGAAAAGAAGAGATTGCCCTGAACTCAAGTAGCCTGTGACATGTCGTTTATTACTTTCACCTTCTCAGGTTTTTATTCACTGAATCTCATCAATCCTCATTTTTTTGGGGGGGGGTAGGTGTTGCAGTCCATAAGAAGGCTGTTGCTGGCCCAGTACTCCTCTTTCCCGATAAATGGAGCTGATCTCCATGACGACGTGATGTCATCCATTGCTATCCTGTCTACAGGATGCACCAGGTAGAGTTACAAGACACGAGTTTGGATATACATCCAGTTCAGTCCACGAAAAAGGATTTGAGATTAATATTTACGTTTTTGAATTTTAAAAATTTGAGAATTAAGACTGTGATGCTTAGAGTAAGGCTGAATTAAAGCAAAAAAAGAGTACTTTCTCACCCCCATGTCATTCCTTTTCATCCTGGTCTGCCCCCTTTTTCGCTTGACAATTTCATTTTTTGTTGAAATTGCATTGAACATTGACTTTTTAATTATGTGTAATAACATACATGTATGTGCAGGTGCCTGCAAACGTAAGTTTGAAACTCGTTAACCCTAACACTCCTCAGTCCTCCAACAGGTGAAGGATTGAGGAGGGTTAGGGTTAATGGGGAAGATGACTCCTTTAGTTGTAACAGCAAAATATGGCAGACAATCTAATCTCCATCTTTGAAGAATATGCTGTGTTAAAATAAAGGGGGCTTCCTCCTTAGTCTCTTAAAATGGTTAAAACCTTTCCCAACAGTCTTGATGAGCTCCTGGACGGTGGTCTCTACACATCTGAGCTAACAGAGGTGACAGGAGGCCCAGCAACTGGCAAAACACAGGTGAGTAGCCATACCCTCACAGGGATCGTGTCACTGACAAGGTTTTCAGCTAAGCAATCGGTGTACAAACTTGCACTGACCCAGCCCAATCTGGACACATCTGTTATAACTTACCTATGTCAAATTGAAGCCTAGCTCTTTACTTTCACGAAAAACATCTCTCAATCCTCCAAATGTCTCCACTCTGCAAGAAGTGTTAGCGCATTTTTTGTATTAATTCAACTCTCAGAGTGTCAGGCCTCCTGCATGGCCTCATGAAAAGAATGGTTTCTCATCTGAAAAACGTGTACGTCAATGACCATGATGTTTTTTTCCAAGATGGTGGTGGCATTTTCTGGACTCTTAAATTGCAGAAACGTTTGTCTCCAAAGGAACTTTCACCCTTTCGATTGGTAATAAACTTGCATAAAGCTACCTTCATTTTGGGAAATTAAAAAATAGTCAAAATATGTTGAAAATTTAACAGAAAAAAAGACCGTTGAAAAAAGAGGTTGAATGGAACAAAGGAGTGGCAGGGGTGAGAAACGACTGTTTTTGACTTGGCCCAAAACCTGTTGATGTATTTTTAAGGCTCTTGGGGGGTGATGGTTTATACATGTATGAACCTCAAACCAACCATGCTGCATTGGTTCTCTGCAGTTGTGCATGACAGCAGCAGCCAACATCACTGCTGCAGCACAGCAGAATGTCTTATACATCGACACCAACGGCGGATTCAGCAGCCAACGACTGCAAGATGTCATGGCTGTCAGGGGACACTCAGACAAGGTAGATGTCTCATGAAATTTGTCAAAAGAGGGCAGTGTTCAGCTTCACATGGTTTCCAGCCTGTCAATTTCTAAAGTGTCTCAAACAAAAGTCGTTCACTGTATCTGCTAGGGGATATATGTAGGTTGAGGTTGCTTTCTGACAAATTTCAAAACTTCTAAAGAGACTTGTCCTGAACACATCTTTTGAAAATAGTTCTAAACTTTGTAGATAGAGGCACATACATCATTGATACTCAAAAGTGAATTTCCCTTTCACATCAGCAAACAGAAAGTAGGCTGTAATGGATCAATTGATGTCTTTCTTTGTAAAATGCACAGGTTATGGCCGCTGCTTTCCAGAGGCTGCGTTGCACCAGGACCTTTGACCTCTTTGAACTCCTCAGCCTACTGGAAATAACCAAGTCCTCCATCGATAGCAGAAGTGATCCTTTCTACGAATCACTGAAGCTGATAACTGTGGATTCATTGACTGCCGTAGTGTCTCCGTTGCTTGGTGGACAACAAACAGAAGGTAGATACTAACACAAAATCACTCATAAGACTCAAAACAAAATCTGCAAACGGTTTCACTTTTGCTCTTCTTACATCAGCCTTGTGAAGTCATTCTCGTTTAGTAATAAGGTAATAAAAATGTGGTTGGCCTGTCTTCAATGTGCATTTAAGCACGGCTCAGGAGAATGGACGCGACTAAGGTGAGGGCAGTATCAGCGTTCAGTCTCCAAAGCCGGTCTTAAACTTTAGTTAGTTAGCCAAGCACATATTTATTCCCATTCATAAATACCTGTTTAGTCAGAGAGTCAAAAGAAGTCAATATTTGATGGATTTCCAGCGATTTTGTTCGAGGATTTAATAATTTCATTTTCCCTGAACACCTCCGTTCATTTTATGGAATATTCCTTGTGCAAATTGTCCAATTGGCATGCGTGGTGAATTGTGTGCACACAAACTCTTTGCCAATCAGAATCAATTAAACTGTTTTGCATCCAGGTGCCAGTGCGTGATTTTTGTAGTGGGCATTATCACTTCTCATCAGGGGGCATTATCAAATGTTGATACATTGTCAAGTTGCACGTTGTTGAACATGGAGACTTTCTGAGGTATTTATGAATGTAGGATTATACAGCTATCATTCTGTCCAACTGGGGAGAATAAATCAGGAGTTCCGCCGACGACCTCTTACGAACATACAAAGTTTCACCACATTGGGTTCTATTACACAGGTCATGGGTTGATGATGCACCTAGCCCGGTCACTCAAAGCGCTGGCCGTGGAGTACTCGGTCGCTATTCTTGTGAGTTGTCTATTGTTCCCTTTCTTACTCATTCAGGTAATCTTCTTGTTTACTTGTAATAACATTTGGAGCTATCTGGCCGTAACAAAGATGGACGAGGCTGCTTTCTTGTTTGTAGACGCAATGATCTTTCTGGCCTCTACCTTGTCCGTATTTATGTTTCATGGTTTAGCCCTTTGAAAAAATGTGAGTAGTTTGGAGGCACCCTTTGACTACATATCGCTCAACATCCATATTCTCCTCTTGTCCTCTCTGTGGGTTCTTGGAACAGCGTTGTTTAGTTTTCCACAAATTCCAAGCAGAATTTCAAAGAAATTTACTCATAAACATTGGAATGGCATTGAGAGCTGTTTGAATTGTTTTCGGTCGTCAAAGTGTGTAAATTACTTGTGTGTGGCTTGGACCCATCATGAACGCTGCTTGGAAGAAAATGTCACTCAGCAGAATTTTTTGCTCAGCTAAAAATCAGCCGGGAACCAGCCATAATTTGTATACATCTCATGATACTTTAGCCGGTAACCTATTATTGCCAAGCAAGGTGTGTGCTTAGCTCATGATTGTCTATATCTCGTAGTTGACCAATAATCAAGTCCGGGGCGATGGGACCCAGCGTAAGCCTGCCCTAGGACGTACCTGGTCCCATGTACCCCACTGCCGCCTGCTACTCACCCATGACAGGTCAGATGACGCCAGCCTGCAGACTCCTAGCCATCAAATCAGAAGGGAAGCCAAACTTATCAAATCCGGGAGACAGGTATGCATTGGTGTTTTATTCGAGTCCATCACAAGTTTTTTCACAAATCCCCTCACATCATCATCATCATCGGTCCGTGTCATCTGGAAGTTTTCTTCCGGTCGAACACACCCCAGATGCGCTGCCATTGCTCTTGATCTGACATGAGACCCCGTAACTCTTGCTTCGTTGCACCCCATAGTTACAAAGTGTCTTAACATAGGCCAATTTTGCAGAATTTGGATTTGGTTCTTACAGAATGAGGTCTGACACTGGCTGCTCAGTAGCTCAGAGAGCATGGCCCAGAGCATGGCCCGCGAACTTCCGTGCTCTCTTAGCATTAATATGGCTAACTGATGAACTAACCCCCTCTATGTAACTGGGTGTTATGGACTCCAGCAGTCCAGTACATGTTATGAACAATGCGAAGCAGACACGTAAAACACCCATCGAGTCTGTCCAACATGTCTTGGTTCACAGCCAGTCACAAGGCCCCCTCACAAGGCCAGTCACAATCCCTTCAAGAGGCCAGTCACAAGTCCCTTCACAAGGCCAGTCACAATCCCTTCACGAGGCCAGTCACAAGTCCCTTCACAAGGCCAGTCACAATCCCTTCACGAAGCCAGTCACAAGTCCCTTCACGAGGCCAGTCATAAGTCCCTTCNTCACAAGTCCCTTCACGAGGCTAGTCACAAGTCCCTTCACGAGGCTAGTCACAAGTCCCTTCACGAGGCTAGTCACAAGTCCCTTCATGAGGCCAGTCACAAGTCCCTTCACAAGGCCAGTCATAAGTCCCTTCACGAGGCCAGCCATAAGTAACAGGATGAACAGTGACAACAAATGCTGTTGTCACAGCTCGTTTGAATATCTTGTGAATTGGCTTAAGACTGAATTACTTGTGATGGACTTACAAGGACTTGTGACGGACTCGAATATGACACTGGTATGCAGTTTTTGATTTCAAATCCAAATTTTCCCTTGAAAATGGCTCACTTGTTGACTTACCTACAACCTGTAGTCTGGATAAATCATGTTAATTGTACAGTTTCATTGAGTGTGTACACCTATATTACCTGAGTGCTCGGATGCACTGAATGTACACCTATATTACCTGAGTGCTCGGATGCACTGAATGTACACCTATATTACCTGAGTGCTCGGATGCACTGAATGTACACCTATATTACCTCAGTGCTCGGATACACTGAATGTACACCTATATTACCTCAGTGCTCGGATGCACTGAGCATACACCTATATTACCTCAGTGCTCGGATGCACTGAATGTACACCTATATTACCTCAGTGCTCGGATACACTGAATGTACACCTATATTACCTCAGTGCTCGGATGCACTGAATGTACACCTATATAACCTGAGTGCTCGGATGCACTGAATGTACACCTATATTACCTCAGTGCTCGGATGCACTGAATGTACACCTATATTACCTGAGTGCTCGGATGCACTGAGTGTACACCTATATTACCTGAGTGCTCGGATGCACTGAATGTGTCTACACGTTGTCTCTTTCATCAGCCAATCAATGTGAGTTGCACCTTCAAGATTGATGATGCCGGCATCTGCAGTTGACTCCGTGAGTTCATTAGTCCACTCTAAGTAGCACTGTGAGAAGTTACAGGACGTCAGTACTGTAGAGGCTGATATATATTAAAGGCAAGTTCACATTTGGCCAACCTTGAGCTGAATTTCTCCACGTTTGAGTGGGATTTGTTTACATACCCTACTAAGTGGCAAAGATATGAAAACTTCAGTAAGTCCTTTGGTGACTTGGCCAGTCAGCATTCCTTGTATGTTGCAGTTTATCCTTCAATAGGGGACGATTTGCAATAGTTAGCCTCCAAGAGTTTGCAACGCCTCGGCCAATCACAAAGCCTGGAATCTGTCTACCCTTTTCAAACGTGCTTTGGGTGGAGAGGTTTCGCACGCTGTGATTGGCCAATACATTGCAAACTCTTGGAGGCGGGCTATTGTGAAACGTCGGTATTAGAGGTTGGTTTTGTGTTCCGTTCACACAACAGTGACTCCTGTACCAAAAATAGTCATTAAAGATGTGTTGCTATTTGACAGCCGTATGATGAGATTTTTCAGTTGAAGTTTGACAAAGGGTTTGAAGTTCAATAAGTCTGTCACAGAAATCATTGTTAAAATCTATTTTTATATTTTATTCACTTTTTTGTACACTTATCTGTACAGCTGTGTCAATGACAGTGGATACATACATGTACATGTGTATCATTAAATGATTAACAAATATTTACATCAAAGGTAAGGACTACAAGCATGATTGTTCATAATGGAGACAATCAGCTTCTGTCCTGATGACGTCAATTGTTGTGTACTTTCCTATAAAGTCAGAGTAGGCCCACAATCCACTAAGCACCTTAGGAAAGCCCACACGTAAACAATGGGTAGCATCGCAAAATGGCATATATGAAGGGTTTAGACCCAATCAGAAAGACACATGCGCACTTTCCTTTACCTCCTTGTAAGTAGAGAATTTAATATATTATTTCTTGGGTCAGAAATGGAAATCCCATTTGCATGCCGACTACAGGCCACATAAGTTGAAACAAAATGCAGAGAACACTGCAAACTACGCTGGCTTTTGTCGAATTAAATGGGACAAGGCGCTTGCTAACACCACAGCATGTAAAACTGGCAGCTAATTGAACAGAATTCTAGCTGGTTAACTATTTCCTATAAGCAACATATTCCTGTGCTTACCAAATCTATTTTGACTAACAAAACTGACCAAAGATTGACTAGCCAATTAGGCAAAGTAAAAGTCAGTCAAGTGTGGCGCTGAAAATCTTCACATGACTGTATTTACCTCAAAACTGCTTCTGTTTTGGCGAAAGAATAAGCAAGATCAGGTTTCTGTATTTCAGTTTTTTTTATTGAATGGTTGAGAGAGTTTCTTTGGCAGCTTGCATTCTCTTCCTGGCTCTCTGGAACAATTCTGTAATTAAAAAAATAAGTACAAGTCAAATTTAAGTAATGTTCACTCTAGGAGTTGCTACTTGGCATTCAAAGTGTGTAACTTTGTTGCTTAATCTCTGAAATGTGAGGTAAATGACATGGGGAAGGTTTTGGCCATAATTGTTGCAAACGTTTGAAGTTGTGCTGAACTTTGATGTAAATTTTCTAAAATGGAAATATTTGCTCGGATAACTCACCCAGAACATTCTGGACAGACGCTTGCATCGTCAGGCCACTGTCAGAGAAACAACAGATTTAGGTTGAACTCAGTTTCTAACTCCAAAAAATTCAGAGGTTTTCTCAGAGTCTGCCAATTTTCACGGTCTTTTGCTTGTCTGTATCCTAAAATCTGCTTCTACGTTTGAACAGCAACTTACCCAAGTCTGTCCAGTAATGTTCCCACTTTCCGTTTGGAATCCACTTTGTCCATGAAGATTCTGAAACAAAGAAGAGCTTTGTTGTGACGAGCAACTTTTTTAGTCATGTGCATGTTTTGTTTACAGGATTATGTGTTAGGAAACCTAGCAAATGACAGGCCTAGTTAAACACTGAAGATGATTTCCACAATAACAGAAGTCAGTTCGAGTAGTAAAGCTTGTAAGAGCAAAGATATTTCTTAACCCATTTGCTCCTCGGACCTCTATCACGGGGCAACCATCTTGCTTTCCTTCCATTTAAATCAATGTGACTAAACTGAGGCTGGAAGGAGAAATAATCTGTTCCCGTAATCAATATGTCAAGTTGTATTACTATTGCCAGAGGATCTTCAGGGAACAAGACCAACATGGCAGCATCACGATAAAGGTCTATAGGCCTACTGAATCAGCAAAATACTCTAATCTCCAGCCAGACCCAAATGTAAACTATATCGGAAATAAATGCACAGTAAATAGAAAGATGATGAATATTCAGTGCGTCACAGCAATCAGGCTTTGCCGTCTCGTTCAGGGGGTCATCTTTACGTTTCTACTCACTGGCTCTGCTGTAGCAGGTTCAGCTTCAATGTGACGCTCCCTGTTGCCTCTGTTCGGAACCCAAATCGGCTGATCACGCTGCCCTCGTGTGTCGGTGGGACAGCTACATAGGTCGGATCTTCCAATTCAGGGGAACCACCGATGAAGAATCGACGCAAGTTGTTGAAGTAGTGCTGGCCAGACGGGCGCCACGTTTGCACCTCAACTGTGTGAATACCTGGAAGGCAAAGTGACAGCAGAATCAAACCTGTGAGATTTCTGACTTGAGCTTCTTGCACTAAAATTTCACAGATCCACCCTAGAATTACAGACAGGAGCTTTGTTTGAGGGTGGGGCATGATTGGGTACCTACCCGGTGTTGAGGGTATGGTCAGGTATCCGTACCCCTCCGTGCGATATCGCTGCCAGGAATCAATAGACAGGACCTCCAGAAAGATCTGTGGCCATTGAGGTAGCAATGGTTCCCGATGCTCCTCCTCGCCAAGCTCCTCTTGCTTGTAGAATAGCTCCAAGTCAAACGGGTAACAGAAGTAGGCTACGTTTTCCTGCATAGAAGGAGAGAATGTAGTTGACCAACGATGTTGACTGAACAGTAAGTGTGCTTCTTCTCCAGGCACTGGACGAGGGAGTATGTGAGCCCCGAGCTGGACCAAGAGAGGCTGCAATTTTCCAAGCAACGCAGGCACTTTTGGTTGGAACTGAACTGTGCTGGTTCACAAACGACTATGAATTCATATGTTATGGTCGCGTCACTAGCAGGAAAATGAACACTGCTGACCAACCTTGCTCTGTTTAACTGACGAGGGGGTGCTTCTGCTCAAGGTGGATAGTACGCTTAACTTAAGAATCGGCTCAAAAAAGGGTTTGTTGCTCCTTACTCTATCAACAGAGTCCGACAGAATCCTCTCCTGTAGGATTTCATTTTGTTCAAACACAGTGCGGCTTACAGAAGTAACAAGAAGTGATGTCATCTTGAATTAGGAATTATTTTTGAATCGCATCACGAGTCTTATGCCATTCAGCAGCTACCACCCTTTACAAGGTGTCCAACTTACTCTGTCAATTTCCTTCGTACTGCATGTCTGCGTGACCCCTGATAGTTGTTGCGCAGTATCTGTTGACCAGTCTGAAATAAAGAACCAAAAATGAGGCCTGGCTAATAACGCTTGTGATTAAATCCTTCTTTCAGTGAAGTAGTTTACCAAGTGACCTATCTGTTGAAGAGAATCCTTTGGTACCTGTATGTTTAGTTTTGGAAACAACAGTTCTGTTATGTGATGAGAGATTTACTGTCTTTTATCTGAAAAAAGTAAATGCAAGAATGTTCCACTTACGCTTGGGTAACTCCACAAAAAAGTGGACATAGAGATTGTCGTACTCGTAGTTCTTGGCAGAAACAATTTCGCCGTAAACCAGCAGTCTCAGAATTCCTGACGCAACCTATTTGAATTCAAATGGTGATATCAACGAGATCTTAGGCTCCTCAAAACCTTGTGGCCAAATACCCCACAAAACCAAAACAGTTTGTCATTTTATGTTTGACTTCCTCTCTCACCCTTGGCTCCTTTTCATTATTCACAGCGATCCAAAATAAAATCTTGTCTGCAGAGAGCTTGGACAGTAAACAGACAAATTGCATTGTTTGTTTATATTTTCATGTTTCAGATATTTTATAATTCGTCAGCATGGCTTTGAAGTGGTGGGTAAGAACTTTCCACAGCATGTGATATCAATCTCTTCTTTAACCCCTTAACGCCGGGATTCTTTTGACCATGACTGCTGGGCTGTGGTATGTCCAGAATGTAAAGCTCTGTCCAGCAGCAGGCCCCATTGAAATCGCAGCTGCATGGTGAATAGTGCTGTATGTGTGGTATGCACCAATCCTCACACAAAGCCGCGGCTGTCGACGGTTCTGGGGCTGAAGGGGTTAAGACTGGTGGATCTGAGAAGAACAAGTGGATGTAAACTTGACGTTTTGACCGGGATGCTCTGGTCATCCTCAAGCATGTCAGGAGAGAGGATGGTGGCTGTCAATGAAGGTTACCCTTGTGCAAATCTGAACTACTGCCTGCTCCAGAGTTTAAGAAGATGGAACATCAAATATTTCACAAAACAGAAGTCAACAAGTGTGAAAAGTCAGCCACGAACCTGTTCGAAGTCATGGCCCACCATGGCCCCGACGTAATCCATATGTCTCTGGTACAACTCTCTGAACATCTTGGTCTCTCGGTCTTGATCACGCCGGGCCATCGGCAGAGATGCCAGCTCCAGTGTGTACTCAAAGGTATCGCGTTGTGTGGACTCGGTGACTATGGTGTATGGGGGCCGATAACGATTGAAGTCTGGCGTGACAGACAACACCCCATGGGTGTCATACTGTCCAAAGCATGACGAAGAAACAGGAAAGTATATTAGTTACTATAATCAGTGTCAAAAACAGGTTTCAGAAACCAGAAATTTAACAAACCTTCCATCCAAAAAAAAATCTAAAAATATGTTTCAGTCCTCTAAGTTTGAGACACTATCTTATCACTATGAACTTGTGACAATTGTGCATGGATACAGCTAATTGAGGTCAAGTCGATTGCTCAAGGTCACAAAAGTTGTATCAAAAATTCAACTTATGAACAGAACTCTTAGCCATACAGTACTACTGAATGTCAATAATGATCATTGAGACCAAAAATTCTTAAGAAAAGTATGAAGAGTAAAGCTTTTATTTTCTGACTTTTGCGAGACAATTAATAGGAGCAACAAATAGCAAACTGTAGATACCTTTATGGTGCAGAGAATGTATTCATCCAGTATTGTGGGTTCGCTGTCAAGAGGAAAATAATAAGATGTATTCCGCTTGAGTTTGAATAATGAGATGTAAAAGTCATCTGTCAAGAAAGTTCACGTGTAAGAAAGGTAGATATTGAAATGCAAACTCCTACTTTAATAAGCAATGAGCTGTAAGCAATAAAATCCAGCATCCCTGTTAGAATTCTCCTGAAAAAGCAGAGATGGGGTGATGATTGCTTTGTAGATGTGATGAATTGAGCATTAATGATTAAATAACGCTGTAAATCAACAACGTGTCCTTATTCCTTAGGTGCGGCTTGAAATCACACAGGACTCTATGAGAGTTAGCTGCAGCCGCTGCCATAGTCCCGTCGGTAATTTCAAGTAATCTGACCAAATACTAACTCTTCCACTGCGCTGAGATCAGCCATGATGTACATAGTCTGTACTGGTGTGTCGATGACGTGAGCGCTTCGTTTATGCTCCTCTGATGGGGCTTCCATGACTGGGTTGATCTTGGGTTGGAACGAACTACCATCACCGTAACTACAAAGACAAAGCATGGAAATCCTGATCTAACAATTGTACTCCACACATTCTGAAACGTGTGGATGAATCACCAACTCCAGCCCAAGAGTGTTCTCTGAACTACAGGCAACAATGAAATTGCAGGAATTGAAAACGTAAAACCTTCCGTTCTACCCCCTTCTTGAATCAACCCCTCCCCCATTCAAATCCTCCTCTGTTCTGCCCCTCCTGTTCCATTCTTTGCAAGCTCCTGCTTTCCTCAGCTCTGTCCCTCTCCTATTCAACCCTCCCTCACTCCACTCTACCCAACCTCAGAACAACCCTCCCCCACCCCTATTCAACCATACCCCCATTCCAATCTGCTCCACCCCACGCCTCTCCTATTCAACCCTCCTTCACTCCACTCTGTTCCACCCCTCTTCAGCCCCACCCTCCACCCCTCTCCTGTCCAATCCCTCCCCTTGCTCCATCCCTTCCGGGCTCCATCAGACCCTCACCCATTTCTTCTCTCCGTCTGTTTCCTCCTTCTGACATTCTGCATCTTCTGGGTCAGAAACGACGGCGTTTCCTTGCTTGATGTTGTCACTGCATTTTGCTGAAGTGAAGACGTACAAAACGTGTTTTACCAAAACTAGGGCCCACAGCCCAACTAAGCAGTACATCAAATGCTCAATAGCATTCTAGCATTCCATCAAAGATGACAAACTAGACTTACAATCTGGGCTTCCAATAATCAGCCTGTTCCATTGCATTTCCAAGAATTTCTAAACAAGTATCTGATTATTTAATAACCAGAGATCAATAGATGGCAAAGCCTGATGAGGGCAGGAGAGAATGATGGGTCTGAAATGTTTTGGAAATATTTTGTTTCCCCAAGAAAAAACCCAGAGTGCACAACTGAAAAAAACAGGTGGGGAGAACTCATTTTCATACCTCCTCAAGACTGGCAAAGGTATCATGGTCCACATAGGAGAAGATCCTCGTGGTGGGTCTGCCATCTCCATCATTGTACATGGCAGTAATCTCTCTATGGTACCTCTCCTCAATGGGTCGCTTGCAGTTGTCCCGGTCACGGTAGAGTTCCACCTCCAGTTGGCTGAACAACTTCTCCTGCCATTTCAGGGTGTAGGTCTCGTCATCTTCTGGCCGGACTTGAGCTGTCAGGTAAGTCGGTTCAAATACACTGAGACCAAAGTGGCAGTTTGTTCACTACTGTCAGACATATATTGAGTGTTCACTTCATCTCTCTAAACAGCGGTACATGTAACAAGCTAAACAAGTTTAGTCATGAAGCAAGCTTGTGGTGAGCCAAATCGGCTCATCAGTCAGTGTTTTTCTCCAGTGTTCTTGCCATGGAATGACTGATAATATTTCTATGCCCCTTGGATGGGACGCCAGTCCATCACAGGTTGCTCTCCAGCTAATGCTGGTACCCATTTATACTCCTGGGTGGAGAGCAGCAAATGAGGGTAAAGTGGCTTGCCCGTGGATATAACCTTTGGCCAACAAGAACCATTGACCCTTGGCTCATCAAACACAAACCTGAACCACATGGCTACACTCCCTACTCATTAAATTTGGCCCTAAATGAACAGGAACAAAACATTTTTGAGCTTGAATCCAAATATCTAGGTTCTGGCAGCACAGGTACAAAATCAGCAGTTGAGTAAGATGTAGAGACCTTGGAGTAATATTTGCTGAAAAATAAGCCCTTTCAGTAATTCAGACAACAAAAAAATCTGAAAATGCAAGCTTCAGCAGTAGACAGCAACAGGTGTTGGAGGTAAGTGATTAGATATGACTCTATATGTACATTTCATTGAACGTCGACTTCCCAAAGGCCTCATTTCCATCCCTTCATGACTGGGTCCTGCCTCTTCATTGCTGTAGGCAGTAGGGACAAGACTGGTTCCGGTCACACGTTTCAAGTGCACTCTGACATAGTGATAAGACCAAAAAAAAACCAAACAGTTTTTAAAAAGTACACAAGATATCAAACTAAGTCCTGAATCTCATAGCTGGTTTCAGAACATTTCATATCAAAAGTAATGATGCTGGTGTACATCATTTTACTCTTACTGGCTGGTATTGTTACTTTCATGTACTTTAGAAATAAGATTTTACTTAGCCAACATTCCGTTCTGTCGCCATGTTGGTTTTAGCACCCCCACGCAAGTAAGTGAACAAAGCTAGAGGGGAACGAATTGTCTACAACAATAACAATCACAAGCATCCATTCGCCAAACTTTACACGACGTTCTTGTCATGAAATTTGTTCCACTCTGTTAAATCCTCTGAGCATGTGCACATGAAATGTGAAAAAGGTTTATACACAAGAAATTATAATTACTGAGAATGTATTTTTGATATCTACGTTAGGCTGTTATACCGCCTTAGGCTTATCAAAGTTGTCTTTAATGGGGCAGCGCAGACATCCATGAGTTTCACAAAAATACGGGTAGCAGCCACACAGCACCGGTGAAAACAACTGCAACGAGCATTCGCGTACGTACAGATCAAAGGAAAAGATTGTATAACCCGATCCTCGGACTGGCTGGTGCGCGCATACATTGCCAAGGTCGCTATTTTCACTGGCGCAGCACCTGTCATTTTGCAAGAATCCCGGATGTCCGCGCTGCTCCATATGCTTAGTAAGACCCTAATCAAACCTTTTTACGAGTATCATATGTTCTTGTACATGTACTTGTGTGTTTTGCATTTCTCAAAAAGAATTAAGCCTAAACCTAATTTGGTATTCCTTGATCCTCATATTGAAAACAAAGAAACAAAATTACCGACACAATTCTGAAGAATGTCAGACCACAGACGTTTTCGAATGCGCACCTTTAATTGAAGAGCTCTAACTGCACAAAACCAACATACAAAGTTTATTGACCCCAGTTTAACCTTGCGCTCGTTAACGGACCCAACACTTTTAAGTTTTAGCGGGCCGCAAGAATTCACCACATCACACCATGCTTCAGAAATTGATACCAGTATATGACCCACTTTGTTCTCGGTCCTTACTTGATTTTAAAATTCTTGATAGGATCCCTAGATCGGTAGTAGGCTGTTCCAAGATCACTCCCACCACCTCCACCACTGTCTTCCGCCATTTTCCCAAGCTGGAATCAGGTTGCCTAGATATTTGGGCGCAGGTATTATTTACCATCACTTAACAAAAATAATTCAGCCATTTTCAGTAAAATGAGTCTTATGAATTTAATACTTCCATTTTGATTGTAAATAGACAAAAAATGAAACAACATTTCTGTATTTTAAGCTGATGATTGTCTCTCGTTTTGTAAGATTTTGTCAAAATTTTCACCTTCGGTATTACGCATCCCCACTACAAAGTAACATGGTCTAATTTATTGCACAGTCTGGTATCTGTACTGTTATGCCATATCTCCATTGAAAACGTTCTGCTGATGACATTGGGCTCCAGACTTAAGGTTAAGGTCGCTGCCCTACTTTACGACGTCACTTAAGATGGCGCTCTATCTGGGCATTCATGGCTAACAGACAACCGCCAGAAAGGTCAGATATTTCCCCCTTTTCTACAGCGATATCATCATAGATATTCCTTTTTTTAATTATATGATAATCAAGGAGTTTTCTTTATGTAGTGCTTGTATTTTGGAATTTTACGGGAACTGATAGGGGATGTTAAAGAAAGGACATGATACTTTGCTAGACTAGAGAGACGAATCCAATTGTTATTAGCTTGACTCATCATTCTTCTGTTCATGAATAGGGATCATGGATATGACTAGGATGGGCAGTTATGAATTTACTGGGGAAAGAGTTCAATACATGGACGCCACTTGACACCCTGTGCACGAACCTTATGAGACTGGTCTGAAAAATTCTAATTGTTTTCTCAGTAGGCCCTAAACAACTTATTTTCCCTCCTGAACTTAGCCCCACTAGTGTGGCATGGACTATCACTCCTGATCTATCCTTAGCCACACATCTGTATTGGCAATTTCGTGTCGGCGTATTGAACATTCCGGCGCACCCACTTATCATCGTGGGCACAATTTTTTTTGCACACGAACATGATTCTTGACCTTTCCGCGAATTCCGCTTTCTAAAAACCATTTATTGAATGATTTTACTTATGTTATTGAGGTATTTTCCAGTCTTTTTGCCTTTATCCGTTCAATCTAACGGGCTCGCTCTCTCAGTCGCCATCTTTAAAATAAGGTCATTGAGCATTATGTCACTTGACCCCTCATCTTCTCGACGGCTGTTCCATGTCAAGATACCTAAACTGCTGCCAAAGTTTTGGAGGAGCGCATTGGTACATGTACATGTAGTATCTTACCGCTCAGTCCATGTATTACATATGTCTTGACATGGAACAGCCGTCGAGACGATGAGGGGTCAAGTGATGCCGGAATGTCCAATACCCCAACACGAAATTGCGTATACGGATGTGTGGCTAAGGATAGATCAGGAGTGATCCGTGCCACACTAGTGGGGCTATCCTGAACTGAACTTTTCTGGACATTTTTTTGATTTTTGATGCCATGGTGACTATATTATTTTTAAATTTAAGTCACTGCAGGGAAGAATTACTGGCGTCCTTATGTGGAACTCTTCCCCTTATTGGTGTTGGATCAGCCGATAAGCACGATCTGCCGATCGCTCTGCGTAATTGGTTGATCCTAAATGAAATCTCCAACTTCCCTCTTTGGAAACAACAATCTTTCACATGTGTGAATTTGAAAGAAAAGACAACCAATTGGCATGATTGGCAGATGGTGGAATTATCAACAGAAAAATCACAAATATGCAGTTATAAGATCGACTGATTGCACAAAGATTGGGTGATTGCACATATCGACCAATTGTGCCCAGTTTGATTTAGCCATAGGCCTATTGTCCACGTTTGTTGTGTGGTTCACATTAACAGATATATGCCACTTGACACCCCGTGCACAAACACCGTGAGGCTGGTCTGAAAAGTTTTGCTTTCTACATGAATACCTTAATAATTTCCCTGCTGAATTTGACTTTTTAGATTATGTTATTACTTTTCCATTGCAAGTAGATAACTGTAGGAAAAAATGTGGCAGCTGCACATGGAATTCTTTCCAGTTCGCTAACCAAGTAATATAGTTAAATGAGAGTACTATTCGGCCAGTAAAAAATTTGAATGGAAATCGTTTTTTTGTCTACACTTCTTAGCAATGAAAGGATTACGAAGAACATAAAACTATGGTGACATTCTCTCTTCAATTTGTGTTCCATAAAATGAAATTACTCTTCGGAAAATTAAAAAATTTGTATGGAAATGGTTTTTTTTGTCTACAATTCATAGCAATGAAAGGATTACGAAGAGCATAAAACTGCCGTGGCATTCTCTCTTCAATTTGTGTTACAGTCACAGGACACGAAAAACTTCAGTAGCCTGAGGCCTGATGCGCATGACAGCAGCAAATGATGTGAACACAAATTTCCCAATACAGGTGATTCGTAATAGTGCACCTCCAAGAGTTTGCAATGCATTGGTGAATCAGAACGTGCATTTCAGCTGCGCATTGGGTCGGTAGAGTTTGCACGTTGTGATTGGCCTACGCGTTGCAAACTCTTAGAGGAGCACTTTTGTGAATCACCCCTATTTCACAAGCACAACCATATTTTTTACTTGACCCCTTTCCATTCAGTGTTTGAATAATGCAAGTATTCTCGCCGGAGGTTTCTCCTGGAAGATAACGATGATGATTAGTTACTTAAGTTGTTAGTAACAGCTGGTTAAATTTTCCTCCCACTGGAAAATCCTGCCCTTATCCTGGACCCATTAATGAGGTGAACAGGAAAGTCCTTTGACATTGGCGGATTTTAGCTTCCTGCCTCAAACTCTCAAATATACAATTCTACAGCAATTGGAGTCTGGATGTGGCTCGCTCCATGATCAGCTCTAACTAAAACATCACTTAAGTTTAGGTCAGAGGTTAGATTGTTCAAATATACTCCCCACAGTGTAGCTGTTTTTTTTTAATGTACATGGACATGTAGCAGAAATTCTGGGACATACTAAATTCACACACTTGCTCTGAAAAGCTGAATGGTTCAGAAGACCCGTAATTTGAAAACAAGACTGGCTAGAAAATTTGAGACTGTACCAGCATCTGAAATTTGGAAGTCACACAGTTTTCATCTTGAAAATGTGCATATATCGCATTGCAGTTGTCGTTCTTCTTTCAGGCTCTTGAATATTTTGTTATCTTTTGTTTGGGTCAATGTTCATTACAGTTGCTGGCAAAAGCCTGTACCTTTAACCTCGTTCCACTACATTTGTCATTTACCCACACTTTAATACACATGTGCCCTTACCAGTTACAATATATTTTTGAAGTTATTGGTTTACTCTTTAGCACAGTTCTTTGAACAACTGTGGATACATAAAAATAATACCAAACTGATAATAAATATTTGGCGCAATATGGGGCAAATGGCCAATGTATCATACATGTAAATGTAACGTTTATGGGCTTAACCCTAACCCCTTAGCGTGTATGTAAAATCGTATCGAAATTGGAGGATTTGGGACTGTCAGGGTTAATGCATGTGCAGATATGCAGTTGATGTGCATCATTCAATCAACCTTGTTTCTGCTTGTACATGTATCTACGTGTAAATGTATATGTGTGAACAGAACAAAATATACAGAGTAAATGTAGGCGTGCTGCTTATGACGGCCTGTGACAACTACATGTACACAACTAGTAGTACAAGCAGTGTTGTACATGTATGTACCTGTGCATTCTTTTCCTGCTTTAATAGGATTGCCATTTTTTTCTGCTTACATTTCCTAAGGTTTCTTTCATTTTCTGTGTTTTGTTGCCGTAGTCATTATCCATGTACATGTACTTTGAGGGGTCTGCAAGGAGGGAACTTTTTCCTTTATACATGTACTTCCTTCAGGGTCAAATGTCATGTCGGTCTATAGTATGCATGCATTATAATTCACTGGTGCATGTACATGTACATACATGTAAGTATATCCAGTGTTCATGTAGGTATATCCTGTGTTCATGTATGTATATCCAGTGTTCATGTACGTATATCCAGTGTTCATGTATGTATGTATCCAGTGTTCATGTATGTATATCCAGTGTTCATGTATGTATGTATCCAGTGTTCATGTATGTATATCCAGTGTTCATGTATGTATATCCAGTGTTCATGTATGTATATCCAGTGTTCATGTATGTATATCCAGTGTTCATGTACGTATATCCAGTGTTCATGTATGTATATCCAGTGTTCATGTATGTATATCCAGTGTTCATGTATGTATATCCAGTGTTCATGTATGTATATCCAGTGCTCATGTACGTATATCCAGTGTTCATGTATGTACGTTGTAGGTACAGTCTACTTGTATGTACACTTTACATGTATGCCTGTTAACCAGTGGCATTCAAAGTAATATTCCCAGTCTATAATGTCATATACATGTGTGCTGGTACTGGTTTATTCTTGATCTTTTCCCATTTGTTGTGCCATTTGATTTGCCAATTAATTTTACAGTAGGAGGTCTGTGATATTTTTTAACTTGATTTTCCTGGGAGATATGCGTACAATATGGTTTTGGATTGAGGTACATGTACGCATACAGACTACAGGTGCACGTAAACACATTTTCCTGCTTGTCATGGCATTGAACTGTACATGTACGGTACATGCATACGTTGCACAATTTATGGATAGACGTGTACCTGCACATGAATGAAGAAATCAGTCTGGTATGTACATTTAGTATACAGCTTGGCTGTCTTGAACATAGAGGGCAGTATACAGTTAGCATTGGAGACTTGCATATTTCCCTTCCAAGATCTGTTCTCCAACTGTTCACTTCCAGCTCCTGTACCTGGGTATGTTTACTTTCCATTACTTTAAAAAAAGAAGAGATTAAGACAATGTACAGGAAAAGTCATATTGTTTTCATGTTTTACATCATCGTTACCGTTTCTTTGAAATGGATGGACTTACATGTGTAAGATAGCCTAAACCTTCTGGCTGGTACATGTACATCTTTACATGTGCGTACTTCGCAAAATCAGTTTTTTAGGACAAGTTTCCTGGTTGGATTCCGTGACATACGGACTGTAGTGTGGGGATGTTTAAGGCTCTGTTTGCTTTCACTGTGAATTACTTACTATTTACACTTATGCATTCAAATGAAGTGCTTCAGTTCTTTTCCTCAAAACAAACTGTTTCAATATTAAGGCTGAAAAGTAATTTGTGTCACATCCAAGTTGCACCTTTTAGCTTCGACAAGACCCAACAAAAAACAGTTAATCTATCTGACATGTGTGTCTTGAGCCACTTTGTCAAGGACAAAGAAATTGTATTGCAGCATATGAGAAGTCATAGGCCGTATACTAGTATTTGTCTGATTCCCCCCCCCCATCCGAAAGTGATATGTAGTCATTTCCCAGGCAGATTCATTTCTCATCTTCTCACCGGGGATCATGTTACTGGCGAGTTTAAGTTTAATAAACAAATGACATTTTATCTGGATG